GACAGTGGTAGCCAGGCACCATCTAGTTCTTCTGGTCTCATAGTTGTATAGGCTGCAGATCATAGTGAAAAGATTGAAGTTGCCAAGGATTTCATTTCAATTTGGATCACACATCAATTCCCTTGGAAACAACAGACAAGAAATCAAAGTACTTATTTTGTAGGGCCTATCTGCTTCAAAAGATCTCTTTCAAGTGTTAAAGAGCAAAGTTATTAGTTTGATGACTAAGGTGCACCTGACCCAAACCATGGTACTTTCAATCCCTTCATATGCATATGAAAGCTGGACAATGAATAAGGAACACCACAACTTAATTGATGCATTTGAATTGTGGTGCTGGTGAAGAACACTGAATGTAAGATGGACTGCTAGAAGAATGAACAAATCTGTCTTGAGGAAAGTACAGCCAGAAAGCTCCCTAGAAAGGAGAACGCCCAGACTTGGTCTCACTTAGTTTGGTCATGATGTCAGAGGGGACCAGTGCCTACAGAAGGATGGCATGCTTGGTAATGTAGAGGAAGGGAAGACCTTCAAAAAAAGGGATTGACACAATGACCTGAGATCATCCTACTTAGGCCAAGACTCACCAGTCCCTGCGAACTCTGAACGGACTAAGTGAGGGGATGCTCAGACTGACAGCACTGCTTGGAATGTTGGGAGTACCCCATCCTCAGTTATGGGAGCTCTCATCTTGACACCTGTCTGTTGTCTCTTGGATTACAGGCTTCCTGGGAAATACCACATCCTGGCAAACCCTGAGCAGTTTCCCTACTGAGCACTTCGCACAGAATGGGTCCCTATGTCAGAGTGATGTGAGATGGGGACGCTGCAGCACAAGACAGGAGGCCCAGGACAGCTGGTGGGCTGTCAGGGAAAACACACACTGATCTAGTCCATCACCTCATCAGCCAGGCTTGGCATGTGTTTTGACTTCTGTCCTAAAAGGTTTCCTTTCTACAGGAAAGGGGCTGTGCAAGATGGTTTTATGACCATCAGATACTTTGAGGTTATCTGACATTGCACATGTACATGATCAAAATGTCCCAAATATTATCTTCCTCTCTTTACTCACTTGATTTGTTACATTTATTGCCATGGCTCTGAATTCCAATCCAGTACATTGGGCACAAAATTTCTCTTTTCTTGCCTAATTGTTGTTGTTA